CGGGCGGCGGCGGCGGCGGCTCTGCCTGGCGGGGGAGTCGGTCTTGCGGCTCCGAGCCGCGGAGGCTTCGAGTGGCATCCGCCCGGGGAAGAGCCCTCCGGATCACCCCGTGGCTGAATAGGCTGCCTGGGCGGGAGAGGCGACGTGGTGGCCAGCTCGGGGTCTCCGGCTGCGGGACCTGGAAGTTACAAGCGAGAGCTCTGGGTCCCTGAGCCAGGAGGTGCCAACCGAGGTGCGCGTCCAGACCAGAACTGCGCCAGAGCAGCGCGGTGCAGCGGCTGGCTCGGGCGGCTTCCTCAGCGGCCCGGAGGCCTGGGCCGAGGGCAGCTGCCCTCGAGGCGGCCGACCGCGTCCAGATGCTGGGCTGGAACTGGGAAGACCAATGTTCAGTATCCGCTCCCTGTCCCTGGGGAGAAATAACGATTTCACACGGCTTTTTTAAGCAACTCGGAAAGGGAATAGCGTGTTTTGCCAGGGTGAGCTACTTTATTTCAAGGCAGAACCATATTTATGCGCATTTGCACTAGGATAAACATCTTCCTTCATTCAACGACTTCCAAAACTGATATTTGAATGACTTAAGGAATCAATATTTCACAGCTTAAGAGCGGGCAAACGCTAAAAACTGTCCTGAAAGACTTTTCCAACAGCTAGATTTTAGGGAAGACAAATACCAGAATTTTCTTTTCTAAAAATAGGTAATTGGTGTGTATGAAATGGCTTTCTTTAGCTCTTGTTAAGGTCCTTGTTACTTTTATCCACAGAGTTGCTCAACATTTTTGTAAAGCTCAGCTTGAATTTAATTGCCTTATGATGGAAGTTCAACTGGTTAAGGACCTCCCACACATTTTCAATTCATGTCCAGGCAAATATTATAGCCACGTTGGTGATTCTCTTCTCTGATTAAAAGAAACACGATGATTTCAATATTACTGTGAGTGAGCTAGCACTTGCTGACCACGTAGCCTAAATTGCAAGTTTAGGACCATTGAGAACGATGGTGAATCCAAAATCTCAGCCCTTGCCCTGCTGAAATAGCCAGCAAAGATATTCCGTAATAACAGACGCCCTACTCAGGCGTTTAGACTGAAAACTGGAAGGTCAGTTAACCCCCTGCAGGAACCAGACAGCTTCTTAATGGTGACCCCCAGTTTATGTTCTTCATCTTGTTGGCCATCGGAGGCCGTGTTTGTATGTCATGCTCACCCACGATTTATTTAACTGTGATTTATCCAGCCCAGTTTTCTGGGTAGATATGGACAGTGTTTGCCAAACATAGACCAGCTGGGTTGTGATTTATTTATTTTATTTATTTAACTGATTATTATGGCCACCCACCTTACAAGTACAACTCTGGTTGGCTAACAGTTAAAGCACCAATACAAAATAATAACAAAATAATATAATAATAACCAGAATAAAAAACCTATCAAGGCAACTGTGGAAAATCCATCCATCCATACAGACAGCTGAAGTAATGCTGATGAGGTAGGTCATTACGGTTCCGTTTTTATTAAAGGTAAGGAACTGAGGCGAGAATACATACCCCATAGACTGGCGTGTCTACGTATAACACAAAGTTAAAAATATGATTTCTTTTTTTAGTGCATTGGGGTAACCCCTACCAGCTGTGGTTTATTTAGTAAGCTATGATTAACATAGCATGGGACTGGGTTATTACATCTGCCTGTCCCACCAGATCTAGCAGAGAGAGGGCATGCTGTGGGTCCCGTTGGCTAGAAAGCTTGACTTGGCGTGTCCTAGGTGACCGGCCTTTTCTGCTGTGGCTCCCGCTTTATGGAATATTCTTCCCCCCGAAGAGAGGCTGGCCTCATCCCTTTCAACTTTCCGGAAGTCTCTCAAGGCCTGGTTGGGTCATCAGGCCTGGGGATCCCAGGGGATTGGCGAAATATTGAGATGGCTCCAGTGTAATTAACACCTGTTCTTCGCCCAGTATATATATATTTTATTTTTTTAGTTTTGTGCCTTTTATAATTTTAAGCTTTTAAATTAAGAATAACAGTATTAATATTTGTTTGTATATATTGTTTTTAGCTTGGTCGTATGCTGCCCAGAGTCACTTGCCTGTGAGATGGGTGGCCATATAAATATGACTAAATAAATAAATAAATAAATAAAAACGATGGCAGTAGGATACATAACCCAAATGTCTGATCTGTGGGTGGCTATCTAGGGGCTGACATTAAAGACACTAAGAATGCCAGGTACAGTATATAACTCATAATATTTTAATGAGGAGGGAGAATTTTGAGAAACGCTGCTTCATTTTCTGCCTTAGCATCCCACTTGGAAAAATGGAACCTGTCCTCTATCTCTATTATATGAAGTTCTTAGAGATACCCAACTATGAAATTTTTAGAGATACGAAGCAGTGCCTGTATGCCAGTGTTGTCCAAACTTGGCCACTTTAAGATGAGTGGACTTAACCTCCCGGAATCCCCCAGCCAGCAATGCTGGCT